GATTACCACGTAGCACACCGCAATTGCGGATAAGAGTGAGGGGGCGGGCGCTGGCGACGCGGGCGTCGAGCTGGCGGACCTCGTGGCCCTCACGAACGCAAGAGAACCCTGGAACGAATGCAAAAGAAGCCCGCCGCATGCGCCGAACATTCAGGGTGGGTCGCAGGGTGGGTCGCGGGGGGTCGCGGGTGGGTCGCGGTGGGTCGTGGGTGGGTCGCGGGCTCTCCACCTCCACCTGGAAGGAATTCAAAAACCACCAGCCGCAGGCCCCAAAATTTTGATTTGTACACTGAACGCTGTTTGGGTCGCGGGTGGGTCGCAGGTTCTCTCTTGGAACGACCTGGGACGAATGCAAAAGAAACCCGCCGCTTGCGCCGAAAATGGGTTGGGTCGCGGGGTGGGTCGCGGTGGGTCGGGGGTGGGTCGGTGGGTCGCGGGTGGGTCGCGGGTGGGTCAAGGGGGTGGGTCGGGGTGGGTCGCGGTGGGTCGCCGTGGGTCGCGGGTGGGTCGCCGGGGGGGTCTCGGGGTGGGTCGCGGGCGGGTCGCGGGGTGGGCCGCGGGTGGGTCGCGGGTGGGTCGCGGGTGGGTCGCGGGGTGGGTCGCGGGTGGGTCGCGGGGTGGGTCGCGGGTGGGTCGCGGGTGGGTCGCGGGGTGGGTCGCGGGTGGGTCGCGGTGCGGGTCGCCGGTGGGACGACGACAGCAAACAACAAACAACAAACAACAACCAATAAGCAACAACAACCACATCAACAACAACAGCAACAACAACAACAATCATTGTAAGACTGTTCGCCCTTGTCTGCTCGAGTGTCCAATAACGCGTATTTCCCAAACCCTCGATACCCGCCCTCTCCGTCTTCGATCGAACCCCTTGTGGGGGGTATACCTTTCTTCCCTGCAGGCCGGGCCCCGGCAAGCGGCGGGGCGGCCGCGGACCGTCGGCCTGGCCAGCGGCAGCGCTGATCGGCGGGGCGGCCGCGGACCGTCGACCCGACCCCCAGAAGGACGGACAGGGGACCGACCACGACGAGGACGACGACGTCGGCGACGACGGCGACGACGACGACGACGGCGGCGACGACGACGAGCGAAAGCGAGAGCGAGAGAGAACGATAGCAGGGCCACGAAGGACACGAAGTAGGCCACGAAGGGCGACAGCGGGGACACGAAGGGAATGCGTATGGGGCCACGAAGAGCGCGAACGAGCGGGGGCCACGAAAGGCAGATAATGCGGGGCCACAGAAGGCAACGATGGGGCCACTGAAGGTAGCAAGTGGGCCACGTAGGACAGTGAGGGGGCCACACACGGCGACAGCGGGGCCACGAAGGGCATGCACATGGGGCAACCACGGGCGCGAACGAGCGGGGGCCACGAAGGGCATACATATATGGGGCCACGAAAGGCAGCGAGGGGGCCACGAAGGGCCGCAACGGGGCCACGAAGGGCAGCGAGGGGGCCACGAAGGGTTGCAACGGGGCCACGAAGGGCTGCGAGGGGGCCACGAAGGGCCGCAACGGCGACAGCGGGGCCACGAAGGGCATGCACATGGGGCCGAAACCGGCGCGAACGAGCGGGGGCCACGAAGGACATACGTATATTGGGCCGCGGAGGGCAACAACGGGGCCACTGAGGGCAGCAACGGGGCCACGAAGGGCAGCGAGGGGGCCACGAAGGGCGACAGCGGGGCCACGAAGGGCATGCATATGGGGCAACCACGGGCGCGAACGAGCGGGGGCCACGAAGGGCAGCGAGATCCTAGGGAATCATAAGCGTGAGCGCGACTCCTGGGTGCCTGGGTGTCGGGAGCGCGGCGCTTGAGTAAATTGCAAAAAAATCCAACGCAAGGGCGCTATTCCATGGTTAATTGCAAGCAAGTCTCCAGCGAAAGCGCGACTCCAGAGCGCCGGGAGAGCGCTTCCTGAATAAATTGTAAGGAAGTCCCAAGCGAGAGCGCGATTCTGGAATAAAATGCGAGGAAGTCTCGGGCGGGAGTGGGGGTCCTGGCTAAATTGTAAGGGAGTCTCAGGCGGGAGCCGTTGTTGTTGTAGTCCGGGGGGCAGGGGGCAAGTTTGAGCAGGAAGATTTTTTTGACAGAAAACAAGGTGCGAGCCCCGGGGGGGGCACTTCAATTGAAAAAACCAATGTGCACCAGTGAGGGGGGATCAACAATAATTATTCTTCAAGAGTGAGAGTTCAACAGCACCAACAACAACAAGAATCCGCATCGCCGAATTCCACTTCAGCGACGCACCCAGGGACAGTGAATGACCGTTCGGCTCAGCCCCCTCACTCTGACAGATAAGGTAGTCAATGTCAGGCCCCTGTTGGCCAGAGGCGCACGTCGTTTCGATCGGGGCCTGGACGACTTGGCCTCCGACGAAATCCAAACAAACTGAACGACACAAATTTTGGGGGGTCATCTTGACATCCCCCGCTACTACCCACGGCACTTGCAGAGATGTTAGCAGCGATCCGAGGTGGCGGAAGCGAGCTATGTTTGCTCCCGACGTGCCGACCGAGGGATACGCATAAACACAAAACACTGCAACATAATAGCTTCGAAAATGGATGAGATTGGGGACGGAACCGCCCCAACACGCATGCCCCTGCGCATGCACAGCTCGTCCACTCTCACTGGCCAGAAGCTGGAGAACCTGAAGACGACCTCGTGCCAGTAGCCATTCACCTCCCTCGTTCGCAGAGTGCTGACGACACTGGGAGACAACCTTAGCTGATGCACGGGCTCTGTTCGCTAGAAGTCGAGGATGAAGCTGCCTCGATAGTTTATCTTACTTCTTCAGGTTGTCGGCCGAGACGTGGGTCTCCACAAGCCCGAAGAAGTCCAACTTGGTTTTTGTTATTCTCGATACATCGCCAGCACTTGTCCCCCATGGCAGCGCCGCTGGCGAAGGAGAACGTACAGTCGGGTCGCTGAAGAAGGAACCCTTTTCGTTGGGGAGGGGCTCCGTGTTCCTTAAGTGTTTCACAGCTCGCCTCGGGTTTTCCTTTTGTTGTCGATGGGAGACCGAAGCTCAACTTGTGGAAAAAAAAGGGGCCTCGTTCCTCATTCGGGGTTCCTTAGGTCCGCGCCCCGACTGCAGCGCTGCCCTCTTGAGCTCGCACTCCCAGTCGAGCTGCTGCCGCCTCGGGCGGCGCCGGCCTGGCCCGCGCGGCCCCGGCGGCAGCCGACTCGGCGAGTCGATGCGCGGCGGGGCCGGGCGCAGCCGTGGGCCTCTTGGCCTCTCGGCGAGGCCGCGGCGCCTCTGCCCTTTGCCGAAGGCCAGCTGCGGGGCCTCGACCTGCTCCTCCTCCTCCTCCTCCTCCTCCTCCTCCTCCTCCTCCTCCTCCTCCCTTCCTCCTCCTCCTCCTCCTCCCCTCCTCCTCCTCCTCCTCCCTCCTCCTCCTCCTCCTCCTCCTCCTCCTCCTCCTCCTCCTCCTCCTTCTCCTGGCGGCGGTCTCCTCGACCTGCTTCTTCTCGGCGTCGTCGTCCTCCGAAGCTGCTGCAATCGGCGGCGGCGGGCGCCGCGGGGGGCGGCTGCGGAGGCCCCGGCCGCGGGCGCCGCGGCTGCGGCCGCCGCGAGGGCCCCGTCGTCCCCCTTGCGCTTCTTCGCCGCGCGCTCTTGGAGCTGCTCCTTGAGCTTGGCGGTCTCGGACAGCTCAGCCTTGACCTCCTCGCCCTTGGCCTGCAAGTGCTGGCGGAAGGCGACGAGCTCCTCGCGAATATGTTTCATGTTGTCCTTTTCGCTCTGCTCCAAATCTAACTCCTCAGCCTGGTCGAACACGTCATTGTCCCAGGAGATCTGGAAGTTCGGAGCGAGTGGGTCGGACTTCTGCTCTGGCTCGGAGGCGGCGGTGGCGACTCCTTCGATCTTGGCGAACAAGGCCAATGCAACCTTTTTCGCCTCCTCCGCCTGGGCCATGGTCGTAGCGGCAATCTGATCCTTCTCTTCCGCGTGCTCCAACGCGGTCCGTAGCTTCAGGATGTTGTTGACATACTGGGTATGCTTGCGGTCGGCGTCCTTCCACGCTCCCACTGCCTTGCGCACCGACTCCACCGCAGCACTCGAGTTACCATCCGCAGGCATCGGGGGATTGGTCTTCAGGTGCTGGATGCGTTTCTGCAGCATCTCTTGGGGATCGTCGGTCGTGGTGGCCAGTAGCTGCTGGAGCGACTGTGCCTCATCCACTGCACCCGACTGGGGAGAGTGGGCGCTGTCCTCGGTCTCTGCGTCCTTGGCACCAGCACGAGGCTTGTAAAGACGAACTTGGCGGCCGCCTTTGGAACACTTGCAACCGTTCTGCTGGAGGGTAGTGTTCCATTCGTAGCGGCCGCACGCCTTGCACTGGCTCCAACTGCTCTGACCATTCTGAGGAGTCTGCGCCTTCGAAGAACCACCCATTGCTTCGACTCTCTCTTTAGTCACCGAAAGTAGCGATCCAAAATGGGGCTTGTGCGGTGGACCTCAAGCGCCTCGGGAAGGCAAGAGAGGGGCTCAAACAAAATGCTTGGGCCGAGGTGGTTTGAGGGGAGGGAGGGAGGGAGGGAGGGAGGGAGGAAGGGAGGGAGGGAGGGGGGGGGAGGAGGCCTGGCATCGCTCGGACGTGTGCATTTTTCCTCGGCGAGGATCATCGAGGACCATCCTGGACCATCGAGCAAAAAAAAAAAACATGCACGAAGCCGAAGAATGCACGGGAAATGCACGTCCGAGCGATGGCGAGGAGGAGGAGGAGGAGGAGGAGGAGGAGGAGGAGAGGAGGAGAGGAGGAGGAGGAGGAGGAGGAGGAGGAGGAGGAGAGGAGGAGGAGGAGGAGGAGGAGGAGGAGGAGGAGGAGGAGGAGGAGGAGGAGGAGGAGGAGAGGAGGAGGAGGAGGAGGAGGAGGAGGAGGAGGAGGAGGAAGAGGAGGAGGAGGAGGAGGAGGAGGAGGGAGGAGGAGGAGGAGGGGGAGGAGGAGGCATGGCAACAAAAAAAGGAAGCCCCCGAGGGGCCGGCTGCGGCAGGAGTCCCGCGACCAGGCCGGGAAGCAGCGCGAGCTGCTGGCCCACGGGGAGCGGGAGGTGGCGAGGGCCCTGGCCTCCGCGGACCTCGCCGAGGCTCGAGGGAAGCAGAGCACAGCACAGGAGGCTGCAGGAGGCTGCAGGAGAAGGAGGAGGAGGAGGAGGAGGAGGAGGAGGAGGAGGAGGCTGCAGGAGGAGGAGGAGGAGGAGGCTGCAGGAGGAGGAGGAGGAGGAGGAGGAGGAGGAGGAGGAGGAGGAGGAGGAGGAGGAGGAGGAGGAGGAGGAGGAGCACGGTGGGGGCGCTGGTTCAGGAATGCGCCCAGGAGGCTGCAGGCCCCGGAGCACTCCTGCTCTGGTGAGGGCGGCGGTGATGCCCATGGCCAGGCCTCCATTGGAGTTCCACCGGTGTCCAGACTCTCATCCAATGCCTTATCCAATGCCTTATCCAATGCTTTTCCAGACTCTTATCCAATGTCTTTTCCTTTCCATGTCCATTGGATTCCTTGTCGAACGGCCCCTTATCCAGTGCACCCACCGTATTTGCCAGGCGGGGAGGAACACACACACAGACACGAGTACGATCGTGGACCCCCAGGAAGACATGGGAGAACATTGGAAGTGGGGGGCAGACGAAGGCCCCGAAGACATAGGAGCATACGGGGAATCCTGGGACTTGTGTCTGGTGACTTGTGCGTGTCCCAGGGCCGCTTTGCTACCTTGCTCCGGGCGGCCCCCGCCCGAGAACGCGAGGCGTGTCCCACGGGGAGCACGGGCACGCCTCGGGCCCGGCGGCCGCGGCATGCCGCCGCCACTCGTCGAGGACGCGCTGCGGGATCCCTGGGGAAGCACCGGCGCACGTTGGACGGGCCTGGCGGCCGCGATACGCTTAGATCGGGCATGTCCCCCTACAGGCGGATCTGGGACGAAAAATAAGAAATTGGCAATATTCCTCTTCATATATTTTTACAAGCCCGACCAGGGACCAAACCCGTCACCACCCCCCCCGCAACCCGGACTCCCGGGATCTGGGGCTTTGGGACCCTTCGGACGGGCCTCTAAGCGGCCCCACGGGCCTCGCAGGGCGTTTTGCCAAGCCTTCGCAGCACACCTAGGGCGATCAGGGGGGTCATCGGAGACGCCCCAGAGAACCCCAAGACAGCACAAGAGCGCTCCAAGAAGCCGTCATACCCCGAAAGATCGCTTTAAAACGTACCAAGAGGCTTCCAAGAGCACCCCCAAGAAGGCCCCAAGAGGGAATAATCATCGATTTAATATAGGTTTTTGGTGAATTTCGGGTTCTCCTCTTTTCGGCTTCCCGACGCTCCAAGACAGCGGTCTTCTGGGCGTCCGAAGTCGCCTGGGAGGCTCCCAAATCGCCCCGCAACCATCCGAAAGGGCTTCCAGTCAGTCCAAGAGAGCCCCAGAACGGCACAACAGGGGTCCAAAATGGCCCTCAGAGAGCCCCATGGCGGCCCAAGATGGCCCCAAGACACCCTCCGAAGCATTCTTCCAAATCGGACCGGGGCGTTCAGGGAGACTGCGGTTAGAGGCAGGTTGGCCTTAGGAAGCCCCAGAGGCCCCCAGAACACGCCCAGGAGGCCTCCAGAAGGCTTTAAGAAAGCCTGAGAACTTTGGTGAGGCCCCCAGAGGCTCTCCAAGGAGGAGCCTCCGCAAAACGAGCTGAGGAGGATGGGGAGAATACCCAGGGTATGGCGAGAATGAGGAAAAATAAGCATGGAGGAGGGATAACGAGCAACATTATTATAACAGCGATGCCAGAACAGGCAGCAAGGAGTTATCGCAAAATTGTCCGCTTGACCTTCCTGCCATTTCCGCTTACATACCAATCTTCAAGGACCAAGGTGCATGGCGCCAAGCGCCACTGCAGTCTTGTACATACATATATATATATATATATATATATATATATATATATGTGTGTGTGTGCGTGTACACCAAATATTCAAAAATAGTCATAAAATTGTCACCGTACTATTTTTGCACTACTTTTAAACCTTCCTCCTGTAGAGGGGCACGCCCAACTCTGCGGTGCGCAGGGTGTGCGAGGGGCGTCGGGAGCCCTCCTCTGTCAACCGAGCAGCCCCAGCCTGTCGGGTGGGGAACAAACTTGGGAAGGTCCGCGCGGATTGTTGCTCGCCTCGGCGCTGGCTCCCCTCACGGCGGCGCCTCCAGCGCCGCCCCCGGCGCGCTCCTCGCGCCAGGGAGGGGGGGGGGGTCAGCGCCGACCTCCGAGAGCCTGTGCCCATGCCGGTCTCTGCACTCCTGCGCCCCCAGCGTCGTCGCCTTTGACGTCGCCGTCGTCCTCCGCACGATCGTCCTCCTCGCCCCCTTCCGCAGGAGGAATATCTAAGAATAGTCCCAAAACAGTCTGGGCACGATTGTGTGGGCTATTTTTGAATACGTTTTGAGCGTTTTCCGGCTATTGCTTATCTTTCGCCCAAAACCCGCCCGTAGGGGGACGTGCCCGACCTAATCCTCGTCTCCTTCCACCCACCAGGGGTCAGGCGATCGCACACATGGATCCAAGGGGCGTGGATTAGCGACGGGCCCCGCTTCCATGGGAAATCGCGGACCTCCGCCGCCGAACGGGGCGGCACCGGCCGCATTTCGGGGAGGGCACCTCCCCCGATCCATGGATTTGGCGACCGCGCCCCAAAACCATGGCACGCTCGGCGGCAGCACTGGCCGCGATCGACCGCGCGTGTGATGCACCAATCGAGGCTCCCAGGAGGAGGAGGAGGAGGAGGAGGAGGAGGAGGAGGAGGAGGAGGAGGCGGAGGAGGAGGAGGAGGAGGAGGAGGAGGAGGAGGAGGAGACCGCCGCGCTGCAGCGCTCTTCTCGTGCCGCCCGACAGCCAAGCACTCGTGGCGCAGACGGGCGCGGACCAAGGCCGCGCTCGCGTGCACGGCGCGCCCATGCTTGCGCGCCCCCGACTCCAGGGGACCGCTCGGGTCCCATCGACCTCCTCCTCCTCCTCCTCCTCCCCTCCTCCCTCCCTCTCCCTCCTCCTCCTCCTCCCCTCCTCCTCCTCCTCTCTCCTCCTCCTCCTCCTCTCCTCCTCCTCCTCCTCCTCCCTCCTCTCCTTCCTCCTCCCTCTCCCCCGCCTCCTCCTCCTCCTCCTCCTCCTCCTCCTCCTCCTCCCCCTCCTCCCCCTCCCTCCTCCTCCCCCTCCTCCTCCTCCTCGGGCCCGGCTCCTCCCCCGGCAAGGCGCAGGTGCGCGAGCGCGACGGGGAGCTGGCGGCCGCGCGGGGCCTCGGCGAGCGCGCCCGGAGCCTCGAGGAGAGCTTCCCGGCAGGGTTTTTTTTTTTGCTCCGATCGGCTCGCGGGGAGCACGCCAGGCAGATCGAGGCAGGTCTTAAGGCGGGCCTGTCCCTCCACAGGAGGAGTATTCAACGGTAGTCTAGAAATAGCCTGGGGACGATTTCTGGAGTATTTTTTGGGGGGAGGGGCAATCTTTGATTTTTGTCCGTACTTGTTATTTTTCCTCTCAAACCCTCCTGCAGGGGGACATGCCCGACCGAAGGCAAGTCCAATCGAGGTATACACCCAGACAAGAATCGAGGTAAGTGTGCACAGACCTCCAGGCAAACCTTGAGAAGTCGTGGAGGCTCCCTAGACATCCGCCCACATGATGTGTTGCGCTGCGCAGCCCCTGCAGGCAGGGGATGGTTTCTGCTTTCGATGTTTATTGCCCTCCGATAGGAATTCGAAAGCATGGAGAGCTGAGTTCCTTAGCCATTGGCTCAAGCCGGCGCCTTTCTGGCTCGAGCACGCCTTTGTTCCCGTGCGACCTTCAGTGGCCTCTGCGTCGTCGGAGCCAGAAATGGGTGCAAACAAAGCAATGAAAATGGCGGCAGTGCACGTCCTTGTCAGCGCAGAGCATTGGAGCATCTTACCAAGCCCCCCAAGATCGCACCTGAACTGTCACGGATCCTGATCTCTGCGAGGACACCCGACGCAACAGTGAAGAGTCTCCGACTTTGGAGCTCACGGCAATGGAACAACAAGGATGATGAAATGTCAGCGATGATGAGGAGAGGGCCCCACGGTGGTCCCTCATCGGCGCTCTGACAGCTTCGCGGCGACTCGACGCGGGGCTCTGGGTTTCGCGGGACCTCTTCGCAACAGCGCGGGATTTTGAAAGCAACAGTTCTTTGACTTTGAAACACCCCGCTTTAACAATTTAATGTTATCCAGTTGGCTGCGGCAAACCCCGCCACTGTGCCCGTGCAATAGCGCAGCAGGCAGAGTGTAGGAACATCTAAATTCCGACGGGTGTTCTGCATCTTGGCGGGTCGCGATCCCGACCTCGTCTTCGTCCGCGCGGTAGGGAGGAGGAGGAGGCGGAGGAGGAGGAGGAGGAAGAAAATGAGGATGAGGAGGGGGGAATCAGACCGATTACAAACACTTCGGACTGTTCAGAAACTACTTCGGTCAGATAACATCCGCTGGAAACGGAATGATCGCAACCTGAAGGATTCCTGTTCAAACCTTTGTGGAGAACACGAGATTGCAACCGATCCAAGAGTTTCTGCAGAGCTTTTGTAGAGCTTCTGCAGAGCTTCTGCAGAGCTTCTGAAGAGCTTCTGCAGAGCTTCTGAAGAGCTTCTGCAAAACTCTCAGCGTGGCCTCTGAGAGGCCTCATTGAGGCCTTTCAGAGGCTTCTCTGAGGCCTTTCAGAGGCTTCTCTGGGGCCTTTCAGAGAGGCTTCTCTGAGAGGCTTCTCTGAGAGGCTTCTCTGAGAGGCTTCTCTGCGCCCTCTGAGAGGCTACTCTGAGGGCCTCTTGGGGATCTCACGGCGCCTATTGGGGGCCTGTTGGGGCTTCTTGGGCCGCCTTAGGGGACCCTTGGCGGCCCGTCTGACGCCTATGGAGGCCGCCTTGGGGGCCTCTCTAGGTCGCGTTGGTGCCCTCCTCGGGCGGCTCACGGCCGTCTTGGGCCCCTTTGGGAGCCCCTTCGGCGATCTGCGGGTCCTCTTTGGCCGGCTTCGGGCCCTCCTTGAGGGTCCCTTGGGCCGCCTTGGAGCTATTTTGGCGGCCTCTTGGAGATTGATTTTTTAGGGTCCAGCGATAGCCCGGGTTATCGGGCTTGCCCCCCTCCCCCCCCAAGGATAACCTAACCTTGCCGGTTGTGCAGGTCCGGGGTTGGGGGGCGCGGGCACATGCAGGGCTTTCCACAGCGCGAAGGTTAGGTTATCGGCCGGCCCCCTCCTCCTCCTCCTCCTCCTCCTCCTCCTCCTCCTCCTCCTCCTCCTCCTCCTCCTCCTCCTCCTCCTCCTCCCCCCCCGGGATAACCCGGGTTATCGCCGATTCCAAAAAAATGTCTCGTGGAGGTTTTTTGGGCCGTCTTGGGCGGTTGAAAACCCGATACGATTAAGGCATCGACGCGACGGACGCGAGAATATGTTGCTACAGTCCGCTGTGTCCGAATGGTTAACATCGGTTCATGCGCTCTTCGCCAGGTGTCGCAGACTATACGGGGGAGGCGTGTGGGGCGTTGATCATCGTTGGTTCGCGTCCTTGGAGACGACAACAACAACAATCATGTTAAGACTGTTTGCTCCTATCTGCTCACGTGCCAAACAATACGTATATCCCAAACCCTCGGTACCCGCCCTTGTCGTCTTCGATCGTACCCCCTTGGGGGTATATCTTCCTTACCTGCGACGTGTATTTAGCGCAGCCCCCAAAACAAGGGAACAGAAGACGGGTGGAAGGGGGAGGGAAAAGACTGGAGCACGAGAGAAATTAGCAGGACGGGGGCAAGGAGCAGAAAACAAGTTGTAGAACCAGACGGGCAGATCGGGTGGGCAGACCCACAGCGGGCAGGTCGGGAAGGCGGGCCCAGGCGACGAGGTCGAGCAAGCGGGTTGTTGAAGCGTGGGTCCTGCATGAATCGCGAGGAAATCTCGAGCGATAGCACGATTCCCAAGTAAAGCGTGGGAAAAGCCAGCGTGGACCACGAAGGGCGTAAAATCCGAAGCCACGGAGGGCAGCGACGGGGCCGCTGAGGGGAGCACCTGGGCCACGAAGGGCAGCGAGGGGGCCACAAAGGGCGACAGCGGGGCCACGAAGGTCATGCATATGGGACCACGACGGGCGCGAGCGAGCGGGGGCCACGAAGGGCGTTCGTATACGGGGCCACAATGGGCGACAGCGGGGCCACAGAGGGCAGCAAAGGGGCCACGACGAAGGGCCACGAAGGGCGACAGCGGGGCTACGAAGGGCATGCGTATGGGGCCACGATGGGCACGTGCGAGCGGGGCCACGAAGGGCATATAATGCGGGGCCACAGAGGACAGCGACGGGGCCACTGAGGGCAGCAACGGGGCCACGAAGGGCAGCGAGCGAAGGCGACCGCGGAACCAGTACGGGCAGCGAGGGGCATCGAAGGCGGGCGAAGGGCAGCGAACGGCGACTGCAGTCATTAACGGGCTGGTCGGGCGGGCAGGCCCCGACGGGCGGGTCGAGCGGGCGGATCGTCGAAACGTGAGTGCTTGAACCGCCAGGCAATGTGTAGCGGGAGCGCGATTCCTGAGTGTCGAAGACCAGCACCAGAATAACCTGTGACGAAACATCCAGCGAAGCGATTCGGTGGTAAGTCGCGAGGAAGTCTCAAGCGAGAACGCGATTCGCAATACATCGTCATGAAGTATCAGGCGGGAGCCGCGACTCGGTGGTAAATCGCCAGGAAGTTCCAAGCGATAACGCGATGTTTCAATAAACTGTGAGGAAATATCAGGCAGGAGCCGCTGCTGTTGTAAACTGGGGGGCCAACGACAGAGTTTGACCGTGAAGATTTTCCCTGATACAAAACAAGGTGCGTGCCCCAGGAAGGGCGCTTCAATCTAACAAATACAGATGAACAGTCCTTACTATTCAGACATGAGAGTTCAGCTGGAACCATAACAACAACAAACAAACAAGCAAGCAAACAAACAACAACAACCACAACATCAACAACAACAACAGCTGCAACAACAACAACAACCACAACAACAACAACAACAGTATCAACAACAACACTAAGTTTAACTATGTTCGCTCTTACTGGCACGCGTGTCTTGCATTCCGCATACCCCAACCCTCGATACCCGCCCACTTCGTCTTCGATTGTACCCCCTTCGGGGGGAATGCCTTCCCTGTCGGCCACTGACTGCGCTGCGAAGAAGTTTCGAGCGAGAGCGCCGTTCCTGAGTTCGGGGGCCTCTCTGGCCAGGGGCTCTCGGAATCCGTATGGAGAAATATCGAACGGGAGCCCTTGTCGCCTTGTCCAGACCTCCACCAACTTGCCTGAATTACGGGAAAGTCTCGAGCGAGAGCGCCGTTCCTGAGTTCGGGGGCCTTTTTGGCCAGGGGCTCGCAGAGCAAATGGTGAGGAAGTATCAAGCAGGAGCCCTTGTCGTCGTGGCTGGGCCTCCGCCAACTTAGTTGAATTCTGAGGAAGTCTCGAGCGAGAGCGCCGTTCCTGAGTTCGGGGGCCTCTCTGGCCAGTGTGTATTGGGGTAAATTGTGAGGAATTATCGAGCGGGAGCCGTTATTGTCGTAGCTGGGCCTCCAAGGGCCCACATTTAGGCTCAAGCCAACGCTCGAGCGGGAGCTTCGTTTTCAGAGAAACTGTAGCCGGCGTCGATGCGAGAGCGTATGAACTCCATTGTGTTGGCTTCCCCAGGCTCTCCAGGAAGGCCTCTTGGAGACCTCTTGGGCCGTCTGGGAGGTTTCTTGGTTCGCCTTGAGGGTGTCTTGAGAGCCTCGTGAGCCCGTATTGGGCCATCTTGGGCCATCTTAGCATCATCCTGGTTGCCTTGAGATCAAGAAGCCCCCAAGACGGTCCAATAGGTTTGCACGAGGTCCTCCAGGAGAGCCCGAGGAGACCAAAACCATTGCTTTGTCGTAGGTATTTGAAGAATGCTGAGGTTTGGGAATGTTTGGGTTTCCGACCAAAGGGCCTCTCTTGGGCTGTCGTGCTGCATTCTTGGAGCGCATCAGGACCGTCTTGGGGCCCTCGATGGGAGCCCCTTGGGCAATCTCTGAGTCCTCTTGGGCCGACGTGGAGCCTTCTTGGACGCCTTTTGGGCCGTCTTGGAGGTAATCTCGGAGGCCTCCTGGAAGGCTCTTGGGCCATCTTGGGTGGTCGGAAACCCGAACGGGCAAGAACCTCAAAATCCTTCAGAGACCTAAGGACATCAATGGTCTTGGCCCCCCGGGCTCTCCAGGAAGGCCTCCTGGAGCTCTCTCGGTCCGTCTTGGGGGCCTTTGGGGGCCGTCTTGAGGCCTTCTTGGGCTATCTCGAGCCGTCTCGAGGCTCTCTTGGGAGGCTCTTGAGCTGTCGTGGGCCATCTTGAGAGCCGTTCTGTTGTCGTCTTGGCTGGCTTTGAAGCCGTCTTGGAGGCCAGCCTGGCCGCCGGGAGGCCGAGGAGACCGCAGAGCAATGTCAGAGGGGGCGGTGCGCGAGGGGCGCGCACAGGGGAGGGGAGGGGTCCTTTGATACGGGGCGTGAAAACGACCACAGCCACTGCTTTTCTTTTGTTGCCGCCTTCCAGCCCGCAGAAACAGAGCAGTGGTTGTGGTCATTTTCGTTGAGCTTGGCACCAGGGAAATGGCCACAACCACTGCTGCTTTTCGGCCGGCTGGAAGGCGGCGCAAACAAGAAGCAGTGGCTGTGGTTATTTTCCAGTCCCGCATTTGAAGAAATGACAGGACCTCTCAGACCACAGGCGAGCAGTCCAACACACCCGCTCCGTGCAGGCACGGTAGCGGCCTGAGTGATTGGGAGCGGTCCTCAAGCAGTGGCGAAGCGTCCTGGCTCGCCTATAGCCTACCAAACAATGGTCCAATAACCGTTTGTGGTTTCCACGACATGGTCTTAGAACATTTCTGACGGAGTCTGTCTTGTTTGAACACATCGGGCTTATGTTCTAAGAACATTGTTTTTGTTCTTAGAACCTTTCTGGGTTCTAAGAACATCTCGTGGTAGGACTACAGGAGTGCCGGGTCGGTCGGTCCCTGCTCAAGATCCCTGGACCCCGCCATCCCAAGCCCGAGCGCCCTGGTCGCTTGATCAGATGCTGGGAGGGGGGCGCGGGGGGGGGGCCGACTCCGCCGGGAGGCCTCCCAGAAGTAGGCTCTCCTCACGCACGCGGGCGCTGTGCCCCCGCTCACGAGTCCGCGGCCCACGCCGGATCCCAGGCCTGAGTCGTAGAACGGCTGGCCTGCCAGTCTCGTGCTCCAGTTCAGGGTTCACAGTCCCACGCGGACAGGGAACATCCTGATGGAGGCCGGGGCGTCGTGTGATGCATTGCACATTCCTGTACGGGTTGCGCAGTCGAGCGCGTGGATGAGCCTTGGGGGGAAATTTGCTGAATTGTCGTTGTAATCTTGTTGCCACGCACTGTTTCCACGCTTCACCTCAATCCGGGCGCTTCGGCCCCTCCCTGCGGCACCCTCGCGGTGCATTCTCGCAGGTCGCAGTTCGCACTTCGCAGTCCCACGCAGAGCCAGACAACCTTAGCGCGGGGTGTCCGCTCAATGGCAACCATCGCCGCCGCGCGGCTAAACCGCAGCACTTTCACAACAACACGAACAGAAAAGTCGGAAGACAAACTATCTCCTGTCTTAGAAGTTCCGTCTCACTACTTGGGACCAGTTTTTCGCCCTCGATCCAGTTTGATTGTCCCAGGGCTCGATGACGGCCCCCAGAGGCCGAAATCGAAGAAGAACATTCGCATTGAGGAAACAACAGATCGTCAATTTGTATCCAGCGCGAGTCGAGCGACCAACGCCATGATGTTTTCACCGGGGTGGCTTCATGCATATACTTGCACTGGGAGCTGCGCGGAGGACAGCGCCGGGGGAGTGCGCAGGGCGGGGGGGGACAACAAACAAAACAACTCCAACCTCGAGCCTCGAACCCGAAGCGTTCCCCGAGCGCTGCTCTCCTCCAGCGGAGGATTAATTAGGTCGGGCATGCCCTCCTACGGGCGGACTTTGGCGGAGAGATAAAAGAGACGAGTCACAACGTGGTCAAACTGAGCCACAAATGAAATGGTCCAAACATCGCCCCCCCTCCCCCCCCCCCATATGGATGTTGCTCTGCCAGTGGTCGAACGCTCCTCCGGGTGTCGATGCTGATGTTGATGTTGCTGTTGTTCTGCCAGTTGGTGTTGATGCTGTTCTGCCAGTCGCTCTGGAGGGACGCGCCCCGCCCCAGAGGAGCAGCTGCGCGACGCGCGGCAGGCGGTGGAGCAGCTGCGGGCGGAGCGCGCGCGGCTGCAGGCGGAGCACGGGGCCGCGCACCGCGGCCACGAGCTGGCGAGCGAGAGGCCCCGGCGGCGCGCGCGCCCCCCGCTGCCAGACGCCCCCCTCCCGCCGAGGAGGAGGAGGAGGAGGAGGAGGAGGAGGAGGAGGAGGAGGAGGAGGAAGAAGAGGAGGAAGAAGAGGAGGGAGGGGAGGGAGGGAGGGAGGGAGGGAGGGAGGGAGAGGGAGGAGGAGGAGGAGGAGGAGGAGGAGGAGGAGGAGGAGGTCCTCCTCATCCTTCGTTCTCCCCGTCCTACATATGGTAGTGATGGTGGGAAGTGTACCCATCAAGGGGGGGAGTGAGAAGGAGAAGGCTGGAGTCGGGCGTGTCACTGTACAGGAGGAGTATTCAAACCTTGTCAAAAATAGTCTGGGGACGCTTTTCTTTGAACTCTTTCTGGAGTGTGTTTGGGCATGTCTGGGGTATGTTTTATATCTGTCGTCCAAGGTCCGCCTGTAGGGGGACATGCCCGACCTAAGAGAAGGCCTTCTCAGAGGGTGGCGGGACCTCAGAAACCCTCGCGCCTTCTGGGAAGTTCTTGTCTGTCTTCGGGGAAGGCTTATGGAACACTTCTCAGAAGGCCGAGGGGCTCCCGAGCCTTCTGAGAAGGCATTCTCCTTCTCACTTCCTCCCTCGCTCGCCGCCGAACTGAACAAACAGGGCCCTGAGATCCAGGCGTTGCCATTTTTATCGCACCGGGCGTCTTCGCCTGGTTCCGGGCCCCGGAGCTATCACAGTTCGATGCGGCTCGAAAAAGGTAGGTTTGGGGCTCTGATTTGTTCGCGATGCTGCAAGCTAAATCGCAGCGTTGGGTGTTTGCCATTTTTCTCGCACCGGGCGTTTTCGCATGGTTTCGCGGGCCCGGGGGCCATCACACTTTGATCCGGTTCGAGAAATGGGACCTCGGGCTCTGATTGTTCGCGATGCTGCAAGCGAGTTCGCAATTTTGGGTCTCGGGGCTTGCGTCGTGCGAAAATCCGCGAAGTTTTGTAGCCATCTGCGGCTTCAGGGGCCTGTATGCAGGGAGGAAAAACCACCCGGACCAGACAATTGGCGTTTACCAAACGACCTTGGGCGTTTACTAAAAACCTTGCCCTGTTCGATTCCTCTTTCGGGTGCGCTTACTAAACGGCTTCGCTTGTCGGGGTGGTTATTATGGGGGTGGATTGTTTGCCCCCTACCTTACCAGGCCACGGGGCCGTCAAACAAATATTCAGGACGAAGAAGCGGTGCCAATGAATGTGTCTGGACCTCTTGGGAAGGACGAGGCGGCGGCGGCGCACACGAAGACGACCTCGGCGACCTCGACGACGACAACGACGACGACGACGTCGACCTCGACAGCCACGACGACGACCTCAACGACCTCTAAGGCCGCGCGATTGACGATCCCGTTGGTTGTTGAAGGTTTTCGCGCCTCGGGATGCGCTCCAGCAGCTGCGCCTCGCCGATTGCGTTCCAGGGTTGCCTGGATCGTCCCGATCAGTTGCCACAGGCCCCGAGCTATGGCTCGACTCCCAGACATCCGAAGGATTGAACTTCTCAGTCCCAGCGTTTTTCCTTCACCTCGGCTTCTGGGGGCAGCTTGCGGGTCCCAGGGCAATCAGAAACGGGATCAAGGCGAACAGCTACCCCTGGGAGGTGGGTCGGGGGACTGCATCTGAGCAGGAATACACCAGCACCGGAGCACCGGCAAGGGGGGGGTAGGGCGAAGCGGGTGGCTCTCTGAGAATCGAAGACGCGCTGGCCCCCCCGCCCCTGGCGCGCTCCGCGCGTCAGGGACGGATGATCCAGCGCCGATCCAAGAAATCCGCTCGTGCCTCCGCAAGTCCATGTTTGTGCAGCTGCTTCTTCTTCTTATTATTCTTCTTATCTTCTTCTTATTATTCTTATGTTGTGTCTTATAATACCGAGTATACGCATAATCATGATAAGAAGAAGAATGCTGTTAGTGGCGGTTCCAGTATGCATGGCATCTGCAGTCTGGCAACGAGCATGCGTTGCAGAAATCACCGTTCTGTGGTTGCCATGGTGCATACTCGTGGTGTCAATGTTGATACTACGAGTATCGTCGCCTGGAACTTGAAGAGGAGCGGGCCTCCGGCGGCCGACCCGTGGCGGTATTCGAGGACCCCCCCGGGATCGCTCCTGCCGAGGCGCAGCGGCTGAAAGGCGTCCTCGGAGAGACGTGAGGGGAGGAGGAGGCGGAGGCGGAGGAGGGGGAGGAGGAGGAGGAGGAAGAGGAGGAGGAGTGGCCAATGGCCACTTTCTGTTCTTCCACTTGCTCGTGCTCAAAAGGCTCACGTGCGCCGCTCCGCCGCCCCGCAGCAGAGGGACGGAGTTCACACGCGGGGAGGCCCGCCAGGGGCCTCTTGGAGGGGGCCCCCCCGCGGGCCGCGCCCCCGGGGGGCTCCTCGGGGGGCCTCTGGGGAGCGTCCCGGGGCGAGGGAGGAGGGAGGAGGGAGGAGGGAGGAGGGAGGAGGGAGGAGGGAGGAAGGGAGGAGGGAGGAGGGAGGAGGAGGAGGAGGAGGGAGGAGGGAGGAGGGGCCTGCCGACGGCCTCGGGGGCCCTCTGGGGGCGCAGGGCGCAGCACGGCGGCTCGAGCTGCCGCTCTCGGGCTCCCCTTTTGGGGGGCCCCGCCGGGGCCCTCTCGGGGCCCTCTCAACGGGCCGTCTCGGGGGCCCTCCTCGGCCGTCGTGGGGCCTGCGCGGGGGCCCCTCGGGCGGCCCTGGGGAGATCCTGGGGGCGAGGAGGAGGAGGAGGAGGAGGAGGAGGAGGAGGAGGAGGAGGAGGAGGAGTCTGGGCCGTCTTGGACGCCGGTGAAGGCTACGGATGCGAAGCTGCTCGGCACACACGGCTCCCCAGGTGCTTCTCGGGGCCCCCTCGGGGGTCGCCTCGGAGCCTTCTTGGGGCGTCTGTGAAGCCTCTTTTTGGCAGTCTTGAGGCAATCTTGGTCGCCTGCGAGGCCTCCTCGGCGTACTGGAGCCGCCCAGCTTGAGCCAGCTTGGATGGCATCTTGGGCATCCTGGCGGCCATGGGGTGTACATCCGGAGGCTTCAGAGACCTTGGGTGTGCGCAGGGCTCATTTTGATTCCTCCGATTCGATTCGACTCGATTTCAAAGGTTTCCGATTCCGATTCGATTCGACGTTTGATTCCGATTCGGGGCTCCGATTTCTCAATGGAGGCCTACTAGCTTGCCGATTCCCGCCGATTCGACTTTTCCCGACTCGGCTGCCGATTTCCGCCGATCCGATTCATGTCGATCGCCGATCTGACTTGTCGACTCGATTCTGGGCTCTCCTGGGTGCGTTGGCGAGCTTCTCCTCCCACCCCACCCCTCCCTAACGCGATGTTGGACCCCTGAGGAGGGAGAAAGGGGGAGGGGGGCAGCCATATGTCTCACACGCCTTTTCACCCCCAGCAAGTGGGGGTCGGCGGATGATGCGTCGTCGCATTATTATTCGTAGTACTCGCTTTACGATTCGTCGTCTTACTATTAGTATGATGATTAGATTCGCATTCTTCTTTTCCATGATTATTATTATGATTGCGATTAGTAGTACTATTCGTGTGTTTCTTCGTCTTCGGATTCGTACTGTTCATCTTCGTCGTCTTCCCATTATCACGATCATTTCTATCATCAGTTTCGTCGTCACGCTTCCTCTTATCATCATTCGTGGTTCCTTTCCGTCCTCTTCCCCTTGAATGGGGCTTCTCAGAAGGGCCCCGCGGCGTCCAGGAAGGCCTCCCGGAAGGCGAGGCGTGCCTCCGAGAGTCCCCCCCTCCCCGCCTGAGAGGGCCAGGCCGCCGCCCTACAGTCGGGGCCCTGAAGAAGGAGCCCTTCTCGTCGGGGAGGGGCTCGGTGCTCCTGGAACGTTTCACAGTTTGCCTCGGGTTTTCCTCAGGCTTTCCCTGGGAAATCGAGGTTGAACTTATGGGAAAAAGGGGCCTCGTTCCTTATTTAGGGTTCCTTAGGTCACGCACGCACGCACGCACGCGCACCACCACCCACCACGCACACGCGCGCGGAGCCACAGGTCCGCTACGACACGCGTCCGCGGACAGAGCAGATCAGCGCCATGGTAAGGGATGGGAGGGAGGGAGGAGGAGGAGGAGGAGGTGGAGGAGGAGGAGGAGGAGGAGGAGGGAGGAGGGGGGAGGAGGAGGGGGCGCGAGCGCACCTAACTTGATCATCCCCCCTCCCGCGCGCCCCCTCCGCGCGCGCCGCCCGGAGGTGCAGACGATGGGAGGACCTCGGGGCGCAAGGGACGGGGGGCCGATGCAAACGGGCCTCTTCGTCGTCGTCGTCCTCCTGCTCCTCCTCCTCCTCCTCCTCCTCCTCCTCTCTCCTCCTCCTCCTCCTCCTCCTCCTCCTCCTCTCCCCCTCCCTCCCTCCTCCTCCCCTCCTCCCTCCTTCCCTTCCTCCCCCCTCCCCCCCCCCCTCCTCCCTCCTCCTCCTCCTCCTCCTCCTCGCTCCTCCTCCTCCTCCTCCTCCCTCCTCCTCCTCTCTCTCCTCCTCCTCCTCCTCCTCCTCCTTCTACCCTTCCAACGTCGGGGCTTAAGACTGCAGGATCCTGCGAAGACCCCGCTGGCTGACCCGGGTTAGCGAGCCGCTCGTGGCCGCGAGGCGGCCGCGCATGGTGGTCGATGCAAACGGAGGTCATCCGAGGCGGGAATTTATACATGACCACCCCCTGGAGGGTCAGTTTTCAGAGCCTCGGCAGGCGGTGGATGTGGACATGTTAGGGCCCCCGGGGGCCGAACTACATCCATATCCACCGCCCGCTGGGACACCAACACGTTGGTTCCCAGGCGGTGGATATGGATAAATCCCCGCCTCGCAAGTCAGCCAGGGCACCAGATCCTGCAGGATCCTGCGAAGACCCCGCTGGCTGACCCGGGTTAGCGAGCCGCTCGTGGCCGCGAGGCGGCCGCGCACAGTGGCTGGCCCGGGGCTCATCCGAGGCGGGAATTTATACATGACCACCGCCTGGAGGGTCAGTTTTCAGAGC